TTAATGTTTAATTATATATTTAATTACTTTATGGATTTACTATTTTAGTAAGTAGAATGTACTAAGCAGAATTGGATAGGGAATTAGGTGTTACCTTAAATGTTAATGTAGGGGAGCGATGGAAAGGCATAATACTTCGATTGGTGATTTCAGGAGAAATGTTTTTTTTAATATGAATGAGATAAATGGATAATTGAAAAGATTGGACAAAAGATATAAATATAATGATTTAAATTAAGATGAAATAAATAAAATAGAATTAAGAAGAGTGGAAAGCGGGGAGAAGTTATAATAAAGATATAGAAGGGTAATAAGATAGGTAATGGCATATAAGCTGAACATGAATTTACCGTATATACTCGAGTATAAGTCGACCCGAATATAAGCCGAGGCACCTAATTCTACACAAAAAAACTGGGAAAACTTATTGACTCGAGTATAAGCCGAGGGTGGGAAATGCAGCAGCTACTGGTAAATTTCAAAAATAAAAATAATTAATTTGGGAAACGATCTCACTATCATGAAAGGTTTAATTGATTCACTAACCCAAAAGAAGATGATGATGATGACAGCGGGAGGCAGGAGTCACTCTCTTCCCCTCCCTCGGAGGCCCCCTGAGTCAGGAGTCACTACCGCCGGCGCGGCCCCAGTCCCGCCGCCTCGGGAAGGGAAAGGCAAAGCACTTTTTGCCTTTCCCTTCCCGGCTGGGGCTGTTGGGAGTCGCTGCCGCCGGAGGCCGCGACTCCACACCATTTTTTTTTTCAGAGGGGAATCTGACTCGAGTATAAGCCGAGGGGGATTTTTTCAGCACAAAAAATGGGCTGAAAAACTAGGCTTATACTCGAGTATATACAGTAATTGAAGTCCATACAAAGAGAGGTAATCCGGGGCCAAGCTACTTTTTTAAAAGAAGTTTTATGTTTTTGTGTTTTGTGTGTGTATGTCTGATTGAGATTTAATAAAACCTTGGGAGAAAGCGAGAATAATATTTGTAAACAAGGCAGAGGGAAATATGAATATGATGAGTATAAAATGGATAAATATAGAAGAAATGTAATTGAATAAGAGTAAAGAGAAATAATGAGAAATTTGTTAAAAAATATTTAAGTGGAAATGGGATATATTAGAATTGTATTGTATAAAACAATGTTTTATTTGCCTTGTAAAATTTATAATGGAAAGAGGTTCAATGTCTTTAATGTTTAATGATGCTTTGTTTATCTGTAAAATTAATAAAATTTGTTTTTTAAAAAAAAAAGATGAACTCTTTAGTTGAACTCAGCTCCCGGTGACTTTATGAACACATCTGTGAGAGCCAGTTCAGCCACCCCAAAAATAATCAATAGTTGCAGTCTGCCTGTCCGTCATGAAAAAGACAGAATTCCTTTCCTTCCCTATGTACCAAACAAAGCATGACAAACAGAATCTTAAAACCTTAAAGCATCTGTAATTTCTCATTTGAATATGAAATACTTGTAGGAATTCCTGTGCTGCAAGCCTAACCCTTAAGCATAATTAGTCAGCGGGCAGAGAGACCTATTTCGTATTACAGGAAACAAGAAAAATCCATTTTTCGTGGCAACAGTAAGTTAATGTTGTGACATCACCTTCTCCAGAACTGCTCAGTCTTGCCCTTAAATCGGAAGTTTCCTGGTAACTTGAATACTAGTTTGCTTAGCTTTTTCAAGATCAGCTAGTTCTTGGCATAGGAAATATAGTAATCTCTATGTTGTCATTGTTCAAACCCTCTGAAAAACAAACTAAGCAGAAATAAAGATGGTTTCCTTAACACTGTTAGATGGAAAATGCAGGATAGAGAAAGATTGAAAGATGGCCTGGTAGACACATTCTTCCAAGAAAAAAAACCCATCAATACTATATCTTTGTTTTATAATTTCATGGCAGCTCTCCAGCTTCTATATTGGAAAACTGAATCATTTTTCAGTTCAGGGTTTAACTGAAAATCTCTAAATCCATCATAATCTATTAGTGAACGCTCATTATTTGTAGTTATCAGCCAGGCTAGGATCTAGGAATCTTTTCAATATTTTTTCAACCTGACAATAAGCATTTGTGGGAATCCTTGTTAAATGAATTGTCAATAAATTTCTGTTTATTATGTTTTTATGGCTTACTGATCTAGGAGCCATTTAAAAATGGACGTAACTAATTGAGAACAGGGGGCCTTAAACTCAAATCAGGATAAATACAAGCACTTGGGCTACGACACAAAGTCCCCACTTCCGGGCCGGCCTAGGCCGCCACCACCACCCTCAGCACTCACGGCTTAGCAAGCTGGCCTGGAAGCAGCATGTCCCCTTCTCGCAGGCTGATGAACTGTTAGCAGCAGGTATTGCCATTAGGAAATGGCTGGTTTTATAAATGCCCATTATTTTGATTTTGTAGGGATCAGAGGGATGAGATGTTCAAACATTCCCAGATAAAGCAATCAAGCTGCTGTTAAGTGGTATTTGAAAGCAGAGAGGAAACAATCTCACCACTGTGTTTTCTAACATTTGTGTATACACAGAGACACAGCTTATATGAAAATGAATCAATTGAAGTCTATATTCAATCCATTTCTTATCTTGTCTAATACTATTGACCTCACCCCTTTCCTAAGAGGTCTGTAGGGGGCGTGCATAAGCGCACCAACGTGCCTACCGTCCCTGTCCTATTGTTTCTCTTATTCTTTTATTTTTCTTATATGTACCCATTTCATGTATTCACAACTATGTATACACTTATACTTATTATCTTGTAAACAATTGGCAAACCAAATAAACAAATAAATAAATAAATAAGTTTCCTACTCTTGAAAGTTAGTCACATTGATATGCTCTAGTCTAATGGCTGAAAAATATTGAGAAACTAAACTGTATTCCTAATTTTAAGATGCTGATCATGTGTGCCTTTACATGCCAAATGTCAGCACTATGCAAAATGTGAGATTCACTGCAAACTAGGCTTCCAGAAAGGCTCCAAGCTGCTCTTCTGCAGAAGCACTGTTGCAGGGGTTGTTTTTTCTGAACCCAAATAATCAGGTTGATCCAGATGCAATAAAGTCACAAAGCACTGGAAACCTGGGCAGCTGGTTATTGTTGTTGTTTTCTATCTCTTTTAAATGGCTGGGGGTCACTTGTATTTTACAAAACAAGGGCGATTGTTTACAAAACAAGGGCAAATGTTTCCCTTTAAAAGGGGTGTTCAAGATTATAAATGCCTTCAACTATTTCAGAAACTAGCATCTTACTAAAGTAAGCACTAAAATTGCTGACTGGGAAATTCTGGGAATTGGAGTCCACATCTTTTATAGTTCTAGAAACACTGATGTAGAAAAAAAGCCCCGCTCAATATTAAAAATATCTAAAGCCATGTAAGAATCCTCAAGAAAGTGATACATAAGGTACAATTAGATAGATAGAAAGGTTAAGGATGTATAATAATAATTACAAATATGTATTGATGATTAATAAATAAGGGCAATTTGTATTAATGATATGTACGAATAGATGTTAGAAATATAAAACAATATTATATGTTGATGTTAAAGCTGTTGAAAAATTAAGATATGTACTGGTGGAAAATAATAAAAAATTATTAAACACATAAAAATATCTAAAGCTTCAATATTATGTAAAAGCATATGCTATATAATTAAATGATATGGTTAAAAGGGTTGTGCAGGAAGCAGGAGGCTCTTAATATACAAAAAATCATTTTCACTTATGTATGACATGATAGTTCTCACTGTAAATCCATATGCAACTCTGCATGAATGAGGGAAATAATCCTATCAGAACAATCCAATTTGAATCCCACTGATTAGTTTGTGCTATATACTGTTGGAAGAAATATCCTTCGGGTTCAATTCCAAGTGGGGAAAAAGACACTGGAAACATGGTGATTACTAGGAAAGATGGTTTAATGGTGGACAGGCTTGGAGCTCCAAAGAAGGAAGGATGATCACATGCTTCAAGATGTTGAGTGAAGAAAAAAGAGAAGGGCTGAGATGCTGAAAGTGCCTGGTTTTGATACCTTCTGTAAGGATTTGAATTGGAGCTTGTATTCTGATTGGTTGTCAGACTCCCATGGGGCCATGCAGTGGCAAATCTGTAGGCTGTCCTGAGTCCCAGGCTTGGTTGAGCCTTGCTGGATGATGATGTAATGAAAGGGCTTTGGGCAATTCCCATAGCTCTACCTGGAGATCTTTGTTATGTAAAATAGGCTGGCCTAGGCCAGAGTAGTGGCCCATTAGCAAAGGTGGGGGAGGAGGGTGAGTTTCTATCTGAGTTTCTACTTTTTATTTAGGGGAAATATTCTGCCTTTTTAATATTTCCTAGAATATTTCATTTTTTCTACGAGGGGTGGGTGCTAACTTCCTACAATACCTATTAAAAATATTAGCTGCTTAGGTAGTTTTTTCCTGTCAGAATTAGAAAGTTATGGGTAATCCTATGGGGCTTTATTTCACAATATTTTACTCTTTGGTAGATTAATTGATTGAAATGCAGTATACGGTAGAAAAATAATTTAGCGATAGCTGTACGCTTAAGATTTTTTTTTAAGAGTCTGAAAGGCGAGTTGGTTGGAACAATACAAAGGGTTTGTAGATCCTTCAGAATATAATGCAGTGCTACATCAGAGAACATAACAAATCGTTCAACTAGGACACAATCCCAGCGTATCAAAAAGACAAGCGTTTATTAGAAACGTAATTGCACCAAATATTGTATTGATAAACAGCATCATATGCAAGAAAAGGGTCCGGGCTCTTCTATAGCATGTCAATCACCTGTCCTTTTTTCTTATTTAAGTCTAGCGGGGAGATCAATTCATGTTACGCTTCTCCAATTTAAGGCCCGTTAGTGTTAGATGGGAATTACGCGGTTTTAAGCCCCTTGAACTGAAGACCGAACTCAGTTCAGGACAATTCTCCTCAAGTGAGTCGACTTCGAACAACAACAACAACAAAAAGCTCGCGTTCATTATGCGGTCGGCGCAGGCGCAGGAAGAAATCGGGTACAGAGGCGCGCCACCAAGAAAGCACATTTACTCAAGTTCCGCGCGAGCGTGGAAGAGATGGAAGAAAGGCCCCGCCTCCTGTGCATCCTCCGGGGGTTGCGCGCGCAGGTGGCGGGAAGCTCCTTTCCTCTCCTTGCAGGTCTGTTTTGAAAGAGTTGGTGGGGCGCTGGTGGCGGAGCTCGACGGAAATGCGCCTCCCGTGCGACGTGGTGGTGGTGAGTCGCCTGCTGCCCTCAGCGGGGATGCGGGCCCCGGGACGCGCTGCCAGGGCTCTGCTCGCCCTGGGGAAGCCAACCGGAGGAGAAGGAGGCGTCTGCCTTCTGGTCAGCACTGCCCGCCACCGCCCTGGAGCCAAATACCAGGTGAGGAACCGCGGAGAGGGAATGGGGTGGTGGTCGGTGTCTCTTGCTCCTTTCCTCGGTCTTGGATCCTCCGTGCCTAATCCGAAATCTGCACGGTCCCTTTAAAGCCGGTCGGTGTTTTGTTTGAGTTTGATCCCTCTTAAGATGCTATAGCAATAATTCACAATCTTTAATTGCTGGTAGCCTATTTAGCTGCTACTATCTATCTATCTATCTATCTATCTATCTATCTATCTATCTATCTATCTATCTTCTATCTATCATCTATCTATCTGTCATGTATTATTTTTGTCCCATCTTTTTCTTTCATATACAGTTCAAGACAGCAAACATACCAACACTCCCTCCTCCCTTTTCAACTATAACAACACTGAGATGAGTTGGGCTATGAGAGAGTGACTGGCCCAAATTTACCCAGCCTGTTTTTCATGCCTAAAGTGGGACTAGAACTCGGTTTCCTGGTTTCTAAGCCAGCATCGTCATTCATTTATTTGATTTATATAGCCACCCATCTCACAAACATGACCCTATTTTTACAATAAAATAAGGAAGAGAAATATGTGGAATAGAATGGCATTTTATTACAGGCACAGGCTGGAAATAAAATGCATAATATAAAATAAAAACATAGCAGCTGGGCATCGACCATCAGCAAAGCCAAAGGGTTTTAGTGGACTTTATCACTCTTCCAAGGCCCCAGGCTCAGAAACAAAGCCAAGGTTTTAAAGCTCTTGTGAAAGGCAAGGATCAGGATGAACCTAATCTCAGTTGTAATAATGTTTGAGAAAGCAAATACCAGAAAAATCTCTCACTGTGCCCCATGAGCCAATACTCCCTAGCAAAAATATCATGTCCTATTGGAGAGTACACTTCCTACAAAAGCAGATAGTCCTTAAAACAGGGGTGGGCAAACTACGGCCCGCGGGCCACATCCGGCCCGTTGGTCTGTCCAATGCGGCCCGCCCCTGAAAAAAAATCGCTGCCATTGGTCTGTCCAATCCGGCCCGCCCCTGAAAAAAAATCGCTGGGCGTGGCGTATTGCCCTGTGCCGCGTGGCCCCCAAAGCTGCAAAACAGTGCGGAGCGATCTAGGGGTAGGAAAGAAAAGAAATTTGCAAAGGCCTCAGCTGGGAGTTCGAAATCACCTTCGAGTGCGACCTCTCCGAAGGTGAGTCCCCGCCGATCCCCCCTTTTTTTCCGGGGCTTCCAGGCTTAAACTTTGCAAAGGCAAAGCTTGCAGTCTGGAGCGTCTTCCCGCCGAGGAGTGGGAAGGGTTCCACCCGGTGGGCGGGGCGGGCTGCTTGGAGCCACCTAAAGCTAGGCCGCTGCTGGTGGAGCCTTGCTTGGTGCCCTGTTTCCCGGCTCGGCAGTCCTGCTCGGGCGGCACTTTAAAAGCCTGCTCCCAGCACCCGAGCAACTTCCCAGCAACTTTCCACTTCGTTTTAACTCGCGGGCACTTGCGCCTGGCCCCGAGCCGCGCGGCGGAGGGGAAGCCCGGCGGGCAGGCGGGCTGCTTGGAGGAGGTGACCCGGCGGCGCTCCGGGCTTCCCCTCCGCCATGCGACTCGGGGCGAGGCGCAAGCACCCGCGAGTTAAAACGAAGCGGAAAGTTGCTGGGAAGTTGCTCGGTTTTCCGGGGCTTCCAGGGCTTTGCAAAGGCAAAGTTTGCAGGCTGGAGCATCCTCCCGCCGAGGAGCAGGAAGAGTACCGCCCAGCGGGCGGGGTGGGCTGCTTGGAGCGGGCTGCTGTGCGGCTCGGGGCGAGGTGCGAGCGCCCGCGAGTTAAAACGAAGCCGCTCAGGCGGCACTTTAAAAGCCTGCTCCCAGCACCCGAGCAACTTCCCAGCAACTTTCGGCTTCCTTTTAATTCGCGGGCGTCGCGCCTGGCCCCGAGCTGCGTGGCGGAAGGGAAGCCCGGTGGGCGGGCGGGCAGGCTGCTTGGAGGAGGCTCCGGACTTCCCCTCCGCCAGGCGCGAGCGCCCGCGAGTTAAAACGAAGCCGAAAGTTTCTGGGAGGTTGCTCGGGTTTCCAGGGCTTTGCAAAGGCAAAGTTTGCAGGCTGGAGCGTCTTCCCGCCGAGGAGCGGGAAGGGTTCCGCCCGGCGGGCGGGCGGGCGGCTTAAACTTTGCTCGGGTGGCACTTTAAAAGCCTGCTCCCAGCACCCGAGCAACTTCCCAGCAACTTTCGGCTTCCTTTTAACTCACGAGCGCTCGTGCCTGGCCCCGAGCCGTGCGGCAGAGGGGAAGCCCGGTGGGCGGGCAGGCTGCTTGGAGGAGGCGATCCGGCGGTGCTCCGGCAGCAGCAACAGGCAGTTTCGCCCGGGCTCCGCTCAGGTGTCCGGCTGGGGCTGTCAGTAGTTGCTACCGCCGGCGCAGCTCCGTGCAGCTCCAGTCCCGCGTTGCCTTGGGAAGGAAAAGGCAAAACCAGGAGCCGCTGAGCCTGAGCCTCCGGTGCCGCTGCTCCCGTTGCAAAGCACCGCCGCGGCTCTTTTTGCCTTTCCCTTCCTGAGGCAACGCGGGACTGGAGCCGCACGGAGCCGCGCCGGCGGTAGCAACTCCTGACTCAGGGGTCCTCCGAGGGGAGGGGAAGGAGGAGAAGAGGGGGGGAAGGGTGGGGGGGCGATTCCCAAAAAATCTTGTGCTGACCCGGCCCGTCTGTCAAATTTTAAAAGTCAATGCGGCCCCCGAGCCAAAAAGTTTGCCCACCCCTGCCTTAAAAGCAACAATGAAAGCAAAAGCTTGGCGGTGATGATCATGATCCAAACAGAACAAAAATGAATTGTTAGCAGGTATTGCCAGATCTGAAATGAGATCTCAGATGGATGAGGACTTGAGAAGAGAGTTAAAATAGAAAAGTATCCTAATGAAAAAAATACCTCCCTTGAATTAGATATAGATTTATTATTTGTAGAATGGATGCACTGCCTGTGTTTGCATGAAACATGGCAAACTGTATTCAGTTCAGTTTTCAGTTTTCATGGCACTTTAAACACTAATTGCATAGAGTGTCTTAACACAACTGTAATTGATGAAACTGTGATTAGTTGGTTTATGATCTCGTCAGTTTGATCAAGTGATTCCCGTAAGATGCTGGACTAGGAGCAGGGAAACCCGAGTTCTAGTCCTATTTGAGGCATGGTTGCTAGTTGGATTACTTCAGACTATTCATTCTCTTTAAGCTTTAGATAGCAAAACACCTCTGAAAGTGTTGCCAAGAAAATTGCATTTGTCCATATAGTCATCAGGAGCCAAGACTAACTCAGAGGCATGGCTTGTCATTTTAGTGTGTTGTGTAAGTCAAGTACTGAGGTATCTGAATCTAACTTATATACTGAATCAACTGCAAGTGTGCATACATTTCATTAAAACCTACTTGAACCAACAATATAATTTTAGGAACAGCTAAGCATTTCAATAAATAGGAACACCAAGCATTACCTTGATAGTGTAATGTATGTAGATGGCAGAGTAAAGAAGTTGCAAAAACAGAGAGAAATCAAGACCAGATTGCATTTATCAATTTACAAGAACATGGTCAAACAGGGATTCTTGTACAGACTTCAACCACAAAATATCAATAATAAAACAAGTTTTGATTTAGTCACATATACAGTAATAAATAAGGTAGAGTTTCAAAAGTGTAATAATATTGGGGTTAAAAAGCTCGTATCAGTGGCATTCAATATTTTTCAGGCTGTGAAACTTGTTGGATTAGAACAGATTTCACAATCACTTGGGATGTTAATGTTTTAAATAAGTAAATCATAATTTATAAGGACTGTTTCCTAGTATGATTTGATTGCTTATTGTACCCTATGACTATCATTAAGTGTAGTACCTTATGATTCTCGACTCTTGACGAATGTATCTTTTATGTATACTGAGAGTATTTACACCAAGACAAATTCCTTATGTGTCCAATCACACTTCGCCAATAAAGTATTCTACTATCTATATTTTCCGTTGATCTCTCATAGAACCATCAAGCCTTTTCTCTAAAATCTAGGGTTTTTCCAAACAGTTTGAAAACTCTAGGTTAGATACAAATAAGATGTAAGATTACTAACATCTTTAGCATTTGATATTATAGGATTTTGCACATTTAAAAATATTTAAGATGGGGATTCTGCATTCTATCAGACTCTCACTGGTATTTCATTCTTTTCTTTAGTCTTGCTGAATCAGGCTGGTGATTTATTTGGGTATACAGCTGAAAAATTATTTGAGTAATGAAGGGGGTTGTGAAACTTCTCTTTTCTTGCATGGATTGCTTGTTCACAGTTCTACAATTCATTTCTTTAAAAACAGTTGAGAGAGAACATCGATCAGCTTTTTACCAAGTTTGTGGATGAAGGAAAAGCCACCTTACGGCTAAAAGAACCAGCTGTGGATATTTGTCTTAGCAAGGTATGAAATCAGCTTTAGAGGCAAAACTTAAACAGAGGTATCTTGGCAATTCCATTTGAATTGGAAGGGTGGGTGGAGAATGGGAGGAAGGGTGTTCAAACATTTTAAAGTAGAATAATCACAGTTGAAGTTTATGCACAGTAGTTTGGAGGCAGCAAGAAAAAACTTCACTAAATTTTCTGACAATACAAATTTAAGAAATTACAGTTGGCAGCTTTTGAACTTCTAATCTATAGTGCATATCTATATATCTGTTTGAAAGTAATGACCAGATTAAAGACTATAGTATCTTTCACTAGTTGTGATATTAGGTGCTGTTTTCATTTGACTTACAGGTAAAATATAAAACAATTCTACTTTTCAATGTGTTTTAATGAGTGTACATAAAAGCATTCAGAAATTCAAATATAGCTGAAACAATGATTATCATGTCTTTGAGTACATGTTTGTGGGGTGTCTTTTGTATAAATATATATTTAGGGTTTTTAATTATGGGATCAATCTTATTTTTTTCAAGCAATGGTGACAATACTGATTGTTGTAATCAAAATAATGCCATGCAAACTGCTGTTTTCTCTTTTGCTTTCCAAGAAAGGGAATAACTTCTTGCTGCCTCAATGCATTTATTTCATAATTTAGAAAAGTATGTATTTCTCCTCCCAAAGAAATCCAAATGAATTATGCTGGTTGCTTATCTTTGTGCACATTTTCTGTGCAGGCAAATGTCAGTGAGCTGAGGACTTTCCTTTATGCAGTGAAATTGGCTCATCAAGGCACCAAAGAGGAAACTTTACCACTTTCTAAGCTGGTGTCACCAAAGGCCTCTGAAGTTGAAAAACCAAAAACCAAGATGACCATAACATCAAAGAAGGATTATCCTTTAACTCGGAATTTCCCATACTCTCTGGAGTATCTCCAGGCCTCCTATTGCAAATTAGCTCGTATAGATATGCGTATGCTTTGCCTGAGAAACCTTCGGAAACTGGACTTGAGCCACAATAGTATTAAACAGCTCCCAGCAACTATTGGGGACCTTGTTTGCCTTCAGGAGCTCAATCTACAGGACAATCAATTGGAGTCATTCAGTGTGGCTCTATGTAACTCTACTCTCAAAAAATCACTTCAGTCTCTGGATCTCAGCCAGAATAAAATCAAAGCACTGCCTGCACAATTTTGCTGCTTGCAGAAACTTGTACATTTGAAGTTAGATGATAATAATCTGATCAGATTGCCATTCAAGATTGGTCAACTGTCGCATCTCCGCTTCTTATCTGTGGCTCGTAATAAACTTCCATTTTTGCCCAGTGAATTTGCTAAACTCTCACTTGAGAGCTTGGATTTATTTGGCAATCCTTTTGAGCAGCCGAAGCCACTTGTTCCTGATATACACTTAAAAATACCACTGACTTTACTAGAATATTCTGCAAGGGCAACTATCAATTACAGGTAAGAGGGGTTTAGTTTAAATTCTTAAAAGAAATCATTTTCCCAATTTTGCATTTTAATTGGCAAAAGGAATCATGAAAAGGGTGGTGGTTTTTTTGTTTTTAAATGGCAAAGTGTTCATTGGTTTGTATGTAAACCATAGTGGGTTCAGTTGTACACAAGGGAGGCAAATATATGCTTTACATATAGGGTCGCAGAGCAAGATCTTAACTTACACCAGTGCTCTGGTACACACATTAGTCTGAGAATATTGGAAATAATATGTATTTGATTGAAAAGGTAGATTATAACATACTGCTTTATTAGCATATGGTATTATTATACTAGCCATAAGACTACAATGCCAATTCAGATGAGTAGTAGGTTCAGAGCTGGCAGGAATCTAACCCCCTGCACAAAGCACCAGCTTTTCTCCCCACTGATGTGGTCTACTCACATAGAAAATTCTTTTTAACTGCTGGAGGGAGGGGCAGAAGCTGAGGTGAGTGACAGGAGCTCACCTGCCAATGTAGTGCTGGGGCTCAAACTGTTGGTGCAAAGGCCATCTCCATTTCTCCAACATCATTAAGCCACTGAGCCACCATGCCTCCTACATTGTTTAATAAAATTTATTCACAATAAACAAACAGTAAAACCAATATTCCAAACCAATTTAGATGTTTAATGAGCACAGTACAAGTGCTCATATTGTAGTTCCTCACTGAAAATGTTCAAATTATGCAATTTGTCTCTCATGCAGTGTCAAGATAGGCCTGTGTTCATTTCCATGTTGCAAATGGGAGCTTTGTCAAGGTTGTAGCTCCATATCATTTTGTGTATAAGTAGTCCTTGGCTTACAACCACAATTCAACCCAAAATTTCTGTGGCTAAGCAAGACAGTTAAGTAGGTTTTCTTGACACAGTTAAGTAAATCACTGCAGTTAAGTTAGTAACATGGTTGTTAAGTGAACCTGACTTGCCCCATTGACGTTGATTGTCAGAAGGTCACTCTGAGACACTGCAACCATCATAAATATGAACCGGTTGCCAAGCGTCCAAATCTTGATTACATGACCTTGGGGATGCTGCAATGGTCATAAGCAGGGGTGGGCTTCTACCAGTTCATCCAGTTTGGGCGAACCCATAGTTAATTTTATAGCCAGTTCAGCGAAACGGCAAATCCCACTCCTGGCTGGCCCCACCTGCCCACCCCTCTCAAGAGTTCCAACGTGGCCCATTTTGGATGCCAGGTAAGTGCAGGGCCCATGCAGAGGCTCAGGGAGGGTGAAAAACAGGCCTCCAGAGGGCTTCTGGAGCCTGGGGAGGCTGTTTTCGACCTCCCGGAGGCTCAAGGAAAGCCTCCAGAGCCCGGGGAGAGTGAAAACATCCGTCCGTCGTCCCCCCCCCCCCCGCTGTGGTGCAGGAGGCCGACTATACCACGCCCACCCAGCAACCAGGCAAAGAACCTCTTACTAAAATTTTCAAAGCCCACCCCTGGTCATAAGTGTGAAAAATGGCCATAAATAACTTTTTTCAGTGCCTTTTTTTGAATGGTCACTAAATGAATGGCTATAAGTCAGGGACTACCTGTGTTATCATTTCAATTGTTTGCTGTTCTTGGTCTGCCCCTTCTTTCAGGGCAACCTCATCATTCGCATTAATTAGCTATAAGTAACCGCATATATGTCTTTATTAGCTAGAAATACTTCTAGTCTAGTAAAATATGAAAGTGTTGCATAGTATTAGATTTCCCAATTTTCAATCAAAATAGCATACATAGCCTTCCATTCTTTTGTGTCTCCCATAATAATCACCCTATGAGGTAGACAGGGTTGAGAAATTTATTTGTTCAAGGTCATCAGTAAACTACTTTGGCTAAAAGTGCCTCAATTTATAATCCTACATTAAATCAGTATACTTCAGTTCAAACTGTCTGAGAAATGGGCTTTAGAAAAAAACTGTATTATATCTAAAATATATTTCCATTTTTTTTTAAATTTAGTCTCTCATTCCAATAAGTTCTTCACATAGTACATTTTACCAATGCTTTAGGGAAGTAAGTCTATTTAATATAAATGGAATTTTCTTTTTTGTAGGATCCCATACGATTGCCGCATTCTTCCTTATCACCTTCGCGATGATCTTGAGATGTCAAAAACTTGTCAATGTGGACGTGCTTGCTTGACCTGCTTCATTCAGACAACAGTGACTATGAATCTGCACAGTGTGGCCCACACAGTTGTTCTTGTGGATAATATGGGAGGCACAGAGGCCTCCATTCTTTGCTATTTCTGCTCTCTCACTTGCTATTCTCAGTTTCTGGACAGACATCTGCAAAGTGTGAGGTGATCAGATTATAAACTGAGAAGTTTTATTCAGCAAATGCTAAACTTCTGTTTTGTACTGGAAGAAAAAGAAACAATATGCTGGAACAAGGCTTCTCATCTGTAAACCATCTCCTTTTTTATTATCTGAAGACTGTAAAAGTGTTTAAAGTGTTAGATATTATTCCTGATGCCAGGTGCAAGTTCCTCCCTAACTTCTATGTAATGCTGAGAATGGAATAGCCGGAGCTCACATCCTCTCAACTGGGAAAAAATCCTTTTCTACTCTTATTTTAGCACAATTTTTTTTATAAAAACAGTAATGTTTTTCTGAGTAAAATGTATTTTCAGAGATGCTGTAAAACACATAGTGCTTTGAATGCAGAATTTGCTATCATTTTTGAAAAATTCTTAATTTATAAACTATTCTTTGAAAATGGGAAGCGCTAAACTCTCATGACAGTATTTGGAATTCATTTTTAAAAATAAATACACACTTTGTGCAATCTGTATATGCCTGTCAAAGGAAGGTTTGTCACACCAATGTAACCAATGATATTTAGAAACATTTTGATTCAGAACGGTAGCATTGTTAAACGGTAAAGATCATATTATAGTTTGTATACAATAATTTATTGACTACAAAATACAATTTACAGTGTTTTTGTAACATAGACAATAATTTCCAGATATCAGTTGAAAATTTAAAATCAGCATAAGATTTATTACCAGGTCAGATGGAAATTGTGCTTAGACTAAAACATGATGCTTTAACTACACCATGAATTTAGAAATTTGTTTCCAGTCTCAGAGAAAAATACAAAAGTTCTCTTGTTACTATAGGAAATAAAACTTAATTTTAATACTTTAAAAGTCTAGAAACCAGAAAATTGGTTTTTAGTCCCACCTTAGGCAAGAACTAGCGGGATGACTGAGCAGTCTCAGCACATTTCACACACATAACCTTTATACTAAAAACATGGATGTAGCTTATGCAAAACATCATTGTTATGCTTTGGGGTAAACATGAGCTCACAAGGAAACAAATGAATTGTAAGGGAGTTGACTTACAGGGAGGAAATGAAAAAAAGTTCTCCAACAGAGATCTTTAGTGGCCCAGAGCACATTTATACTGTACACACGATTAACTGATGATGGACTATCAAGTCATTGTCAACTCTTAGGATGATCTGTTCCTAACCTGATCTTTCAGATGTTATCTATACAGGTACCGTATGGCCAACAAGCTAGGATAGTTAGCCTGATTGGAGAGAATCAGTTGCCCATTGTCTACGGAAACAACGTTTTTGGTGCTTTCTGAGCTTGGTGGTGGTTTTGCAGCGGTTTCATTACCCAACTAGGTAACCGTCTGCAAGAAAATAACCAAGCTCAGAGAGCACGAAGGAACCTCACCGTTCAATCCCGAGGTGCAAATATTCTCTTCTATGCTTTCAAAGTTATTGAAAAGGCCAGAAAATTTGGACAGCAGAATAGTTGTTCTTTTTGCCTCCTACCAATCAGATTCATTTCGGGAAGGTCAGCGCGAAGCGACTCCTTTCTCCGAGAGCGCCTCTAGCCGTACAGAAACCTTGAGGGCCAGATTACGGCTTCTCCACAGCGAACGAAGCGGGTAGTCCGGATCCGGAAGCCGCGCCTGGAGAGGGAGGTCCTGGGGTTGCTGCAGCCCCGACGGAGGTAGCGTGGCCGGCTGGCGTGGCCGGGGCGGAGCCGCTCGGGTCCCTCCTTCCTTCTTTCTTTCCTTCCTTCCCTCGCTCATTCTTCATCCGGCCGCGCTGCCTGTTTCGTCTCCGGCCAAGAAAACGAGGGAGAAGATGCGCGCGCGGCGGCGGCGGCCCGAGCAGTCGGGCCCCCGAGAACCCCGGGGCGCTCGGTTGTTCCGCTGATGCGCGCCAAGGGGCAGGGGGCCCCGCCAGGCCCGTCTCGAAGCCACCGCAAGTGAGGAACGAGGAAGGCACAGGAGAACCGGAAACCTCCCGGACCATGAGATTCCGCATCTACAAGCGCAAAGTGGTGGCGCTGCTGCTGGTCTTGGGCGCCGCCGCCTGTGCCTTGGTGCTTTGGGGAGGGACAAGCGAGGCCGGCGGCAGCGGGAGCAGCGGGAGCAGCAGCAGCAGCAACAACAACAAACGGGAAGAAGCCGCGTCTCCGCCGCCGCTCCCAGGAGATCGACCGTTGCCGCCGGCGGTTAGCAGCAGCAGCAGCCGCCTTCCAGTTAATCACGGACCTCACTCCAATTCTTCTTCGATATCGCGGGAAGAGGCGGCGACGGGACTGAATCGCACCCTGCACTACCGGTCTCTGGTCTACCGACTCAACTTCGACCAGCCGGTTCGCAACGAGGCGAGCTGGCGGCCTGGCGGGGGTGGCCCCGGAGAGGTGGCCGTGGCGCTGGTGGTGCAGGTGCATGAGCGCGCCGAGCACCTCCGCATCCTGTTGGACTCGTTGCGACGCGCGCCCGGCGTGGAAAAAGTGCTCCTCGTGCTTAGCCACGACGTGTGGTCCGCCGAGTTGAATGCGCTGGCCGCTTCCGTGGACTTCTGCGCCGTCCTGCAGATTTTCTTCCCGTTCAGCTTGCAGCTCTATCCGGCCGAATTCCCAGGCACGGACCCACGCGATTGTCCGCGCGACGTGGGCCAAGCGGCGGCGCTGCGCTCGGGCTGCCTCAACGCTCATTACCCCGATGCCTTTGGCCATTACCGGGAGTCTCGTTTCACCCAAACCAAACACCACTGGTGGTGGAAGCTTCACTTTGTGTGGGAGAGGGTGCGTGCTCTGCGGGAACACCCAGGCTTGGTGGTCTTCTTGGAGGAGGACCACTACCTGGCACCTGATTTCTACCATGTCCTGCAACGCCTCTGGGCCTTGAGACAGCGGGACTGCCCTGAGTGCCAGTTGTTGTCCTTGGGCACTTATGCCACTGTGCGCGGCAGCTTTGCCGGCCGAGCTGACAAGGTGGAATTGAAGACATGGAAGTCCACAGAGCACAACATGGGCATGGTGTTGGCTAGGGACACATACCAACAACTGATTGCCTGCACTGATGCCTTCTGCACCTATGATGACTATAACTGGGACTGGACCCTGCAGCATTTGACTGTAGGATGCCTTCCTCATTTTTGGAAGGTGCTAGTTCCAGAGATCCCCCGAATCTTCCACACTGGTGACTGTGGTATGCACCACAAAAAATCTTGCCAACCCTCTGTTCAGAGTGCCAAAATTGACTCGCTGTTAAGTAGCAATCAACAATACTTATTTCCTGAAACCTTAACTATTAGCAAGCGGTACTCAATGACCCCTTTGAGCCCCCATGTGAAAAACGGGGGTTGGGGTGATATTCGAGATCACGAACTCTGTAAAAGTTACCGAAGATTACAGTGAAAGAAGGAACATTGAGTCTTTGTCTCTGTTGGACTGATACACAAACATAAATACTTGGAATTTGCTTCTAGTTTAATATGGACATCGATGATTGCAGAAGATTTCATTTGGTAATTAATTTTGGACACTGAATAATTATGTCGAGCAATGCTCAAAATAAAAACTATAAATGTCTACTTGTTTACTGGAAATAAGAGGTTTTTTTTATAACAGATCTAGTCCCTTTTATAAAATATTCCCAACATCTTCAAACTTGTTTTAACAAAGATAAACATTGTAGATGCAATTGTATCTATGGGGGGCCCTGTCAGTCTTTTGCTCTTCAATGTTCACAAGTTTTCAAAAGTTAGCTTTTAAGTTTGTTTTGTAACTTACTTCACCCACCCACCCCACTTTATCTTTACAGTATGATCCTCTGATTACTCAGTATTCCATTTCTATAACCTTTTACTGGCTTGCTTGAAATTTGATACCTTAATACCTGCAAAAAGCATTATCTTATTTTCTATGTGCTTATGTGAGAAAAAAATGAAATTGGTTTCTTTTAATGTAGAATTATGCAGCTTTTTTAATTATGCCAAAATAAAAAAATCATGTTTTTGTAATACAAATTTCAATGGTTTGATAGAATCCATTTTATTTGAATTTAAATATCACAAATTAAAATTTTCAATACACAAATGCTAGCATAATTCAGTGCCAAAAATAAGACATGTAATCAGCTCTTTTTAAAAATAAACTACTTCCTATTGAAACAATCTAATTTTTAGATTTGGCAGCCTAATATAATTACAGAGCATTGAGTATAGAATGTGAATGTTAGAAAAATAATTAGAACGTTCAAAAATATATTGATATGTGTTAGGCTTAATATCCTAAAAAACCTTGCTTATGGAAACAGTCACAATTTAATTAAACTATATGCTCAGCTCTACAATAGAATTTGTCTCAAATTTTTTCTAGGCAACCCACATAAAAGTTCATTATGCCAACAAATATCCTAAAATATATCCTTAGTTTTTAACAAAAAAAAAACCAAAATTTATTACTTGTCCAAACAGATAATAGAAATATTTGGGACAAACTAGCTTAGTCTTAAAAATAATTTTTGATAAATTATATTTGAAAAATGATATCCAGATCATATTAAACTAGGAGGAATTAACAGAAAAACTACATCTTTCCATATCTTGTTTTTTTGCCTTTCTGAAATAGATATTTTTAAGATTACAAAAGGATTTATTAGATTTTATAAAATCTCTTACTAGTTTTATTTGAATATGCAGATAGAACTTTTAAGTTAAATAGATGAAAGACTGCAAACTATTTTAAATCATTCTTATTTAGAAGGGAGTTTGTTAAAATCTCTGGTTTGTAATATCGCCAAAATTGAACAATTCAGTTAAAACTAAGCACAGCTAAGAACCACATAAGTCACTGATGAAAGTTAATTTATTTTATGGAAAGTTTAATCTTGACTTTGTAGTTTGTTCTGTGCAATGTCGCTTGCTAATTTCCAGCAAATTATCAACAACACCAAAGGTCATTTTCCACCTAATGGATAATTCTGGGGATAATTAGAAGTTGGTTTAAGCAAGAAAATTTAATTATGGTAAGTTGACATTTAAAACAGTTCTCTGTTATTGCATACTGTGTAGTTTTGGATGTTATGATAATTTAACTGGGTTTCAATGGCAGTTTTAATGATGTGATCTGCATATTCAAAAGAATAACAATTTCAAGTACATATTATCTAAGAATATATTTTTATGGGGGTATCTACCATATTGTTTGCATAGGTATATCTTCCCATGATTATTTAATGACATTACTTACAGTTATGACTTATACTTAAGAGAAACAGACTCAGCTTGCCAATGGTTGCTGTGACAAAATAGGACAATGCTTACAAAATGTCTTTAAGTTAAGCTTTGAAATTTTTTGAAAATTTAAGTAAATGAAATTGGCAATCTGGCAGCATAAGAATCCTAGCCATGTTACAAATAAATCCATTTGGTTTCAGTGGTTTCCTTTTTGAGTTACCACTTTTTCATACCACTTGAAGAATTTCCCCAATGTGGCTGGGGCATTAAAAAGGCTTCCAAAAGACTGAAAATGTTTGCAAACTAGACGGCAATTGATTGTTCATAATCTTTATTCCCTACCTATAGGATACTAGATAGCATGAGAACACTCAAGCTGGGTAAATACACAGTTGAAAGCAATTCTAACAGCAAAGGCTATGTGTAAAATGTCATATAGTTTTGGAGAATGTTTACTGGGTTATTTGCTATTTGGCTAAAAACTGGAGAAAACAGAATGGGATGTTAAAAATAAGGAACTGGAAGCCAATCAGAATTAGGTTTTGCAAATGTGAATGGTCACAGTAGTTGGTTCCTTTCAGACAATCTTGTCAGAAATTATATGTCGTCTTCCCAGTTAAGCATGGCTCAAAATGTTTACACAAAAATATGTAGTTTACTTATAAGTCAAGGTGTTTGCAGATTTTCTACATGCTTTCCTAACTTTTGCCATCTAATTTGGATCAGGATTTGCCTGAGAAATCTGTATAGCTTTAATGAACTGCCTATTTCTTTTTGAAATTCAGTAACAAATTAGTCACATCCGAATTTTTGAACTAAATGAAGGAACAAGCAGTTTCTATTACTTTTTTCTTCCATCAATATGAATTTCAATTTCTGTATAGCTTTGACTTTTTGTATACTTCACAGTGAGTGCAAAATTTGAGGTAGCTGCAGACTCAGTTGAGTCTTATGAAACTGATTTAATCCAGTTCATATAGCAAAGCATTTTCAAAGGTAATTGCACACTGTGTTCTGTGGCAGCTTGTATACTCCACAGTACCATCTTGCATGTTAGTTTCCTTTAACACAGTGGGAGTTAACCTGTTCAACTCTTTGTTCTGTGAGGGCTCCTTATGTTCATTCACTTCCTCTCCCTCCTGAAGCTCAGCTTGCATTGAGGACGTGGCTCTTTTGCTTGTTGCAAAAGAAAGACCTGGCTCATGTAATTTGTTTATTTGCAGCTTCCCTAGTATCCTCCCATCGGGGTCACCAGGGTCAAGTTCCATACAATAGCTTGATCCCTTGCCAACTGGCCCCATTTTCTGCATAGTTACAAATGAACCTGAAACACTCGTGGTTTGTTTGGAGCAGTTTTCTTTATCTGTTAAAAGTTTGCCATGTTCTTGTTCACTGTCATCTCTTTTTTCTCTTCTGCCAAGTTCCAGGCTACCATTCTCTATCTGCTGAGAGGAAGAACAAAATATTTCACTGTTTCAACCTAAGAAACAAGCTCATTAACCAAACAAGAATAACTTGCATTTCCTCCTTCCTTGGTCTTACCACACAGCTGTGTTTCTATCTTCTTGCTATACTTTCTGTAAACATAGTTGGAGAACTGCCTAACCCTGACAGCAGAATATAACTTGCTTAAAGGCAATGTTGCATTATAACAGACAGGTAGTTGGTATGTATTTAGCAAAAAAGAATAATGATATATATATATATAAATAAATAAATGGGCTTTGTATGTTCCTGGAGAAATGTTGTTATTCTAGATGAAGTAGTAGTTTATCTGCTTGGTCTTTCAGCCTCTGTAATGTGCCATTTGGATCTACTTTTTAATTATTTAACTATTAAATGGTTACATTGATAGCCTAGCTCAATGAGAAATTTGATATGCTTCAGATGCTTGTGAGAAGGACAATTGGGAAGGGAAAGATGGACAAATATGCTTCTGAATTCTTAAAATCCAATTTACCAAGAAGTAAACTAATTATTCTCACTCAACAATGTTCATAAGCCTCCAATTATTATTTGCTAGCATTCTTCAAGGCTACGTTCAAATTCCTATTAGTCAAATCAAGTTGCTGTACTGCTTGAAATATTTCAGATTTAGATAAAGGTAAAGGTTTTCCCTCTCCAGTCATGTCTGACTCTAGGGGATAGTGCTCAGGGTTGTCCAAAGACATTTTCCATACAGCCAACATGGCTATATGCCAAAGCTGCACAGAATGCTGTTATCTTCCCACCAAAGTGGTACCTGTTTATCTATTCTAGATAAATTGGGGGCAATATGTTGACAGTGAGCCATTAGGGCTGTAAAGCGGTATATAAGTAAGTGCTATTGTTATTGCTACTCACATTAGCATGCTTTTGAACTGCTAGATAGACAGGAGCTGGGGAAAGTAATGGGAACTCACCACGTTGACCCAGCTATCCAGCTGATAAACTTGGTGTCTTACCCACTGAATCGGTGGGATTTAAATTTCTTAACAGCTGGTTCTGTGTATGTGGCCTAATTTGTGTGTGTGGCTTGGTGGTCATGTGACTGGGTGGGCATGGCTTGTATGTAAATATTATAAATATAAATATTTATATAAATATAAATGTAAATATTGATTTTTTTTTATAAAAAAGACAAACTTTTACCCCAAAGCAGGCAAAGTAGGCAGGCAGGTTGGGTTGCTCAAAGAATCACAGATTCACTTAGAGATCTATCTATCTCCAATCGGCTACCTGGATCTGCACTGGAAAGTAGAAGCTTCAGTCCTAAGGAAGGTTCGGCTCTGCTTTTAGATTAACTAGAAAGCAAGAAATCCAAGGATATCCTGCTTTCTAGCTAATTAAATCTCCCGGCAGAGCAGAACCAGAAAAAAAAAAAAAGGAAAAAAATAGCAACTTACCAAACCAGGCAAGTTGGATGGCTTGCATGCCAGGTAAGGAGTGAGTGGGCGGGGAGGGGAGGGGCCAGCCAATGGAATGATTTGCTGGTTCTCTGAGCTACGTGTGTGTGCATTGTTTGCAAGAAATCAGCTGTGCTGCCTAGACAGCTGACAAGCGCTGCACACGGGTTGAAAATCCTCTTGTTTCCTGCTTTTTCAACCTCAGCTGTGCCGCGCAAATAAAGGACAGCCTAGAGCCCAGACAGGTGGGTGAGCCAAACACCGAACCGGTTCGGTGTCAGCTGCTCTTTGCAGCTACAGGTTCTATAGAACTGGGCCAAACCGGTAGCATCCCACCGCTGCACTGAATGATCAGGCATGCCCAACATTTCAGATTTCATTTTACTTTTATGGCCAAATAAAGTAGTGCATTTAAAACAATATGGCACCAACCATAACAATAATAAAGCAATGAGCCTCATGTGATTATCTGAATAGATACTTCCACCCTAGTACAATCAGAGTTAGAATTTTTGATGCAATGGACTTTAACTGGCAAGTTAAAGTTTAACTGGCAAGCAGTACAATTTGTAAACGTTTGAAGAGAATGAAAATACAATATAATAGTTGTGAAACTATAATATATAATAGCAGAATCTGCAGCATTCTTATAAATAAAGCAGAGCTGGAATTCAAATGTAGTTGTTTGTTCTCCTTACAATTTTTTTGCTTACTACCGTGTAGACTATTCTACGCTAGTCTCAGTCAAGGAGCAAAGTCCAAAATGCAGCCTGGACCTTCCCATCTGATTTAAGATAAAAACTGACTAACATAGGAGAATCTAAACAACACCCACAAATATAAGTTCAGTATTATACAAAATTCAATATATATTTCAAATAGAAAACTATTCAATAGTTCTTGCTGGCTTTCTTTCACTATTTCATTTACAATTGGAATATTAATTTACATTATAGAAATTGTTTTCATGAATGATAGGCTCTACGAACAAAGCCTGAGAAATCTTTGCATTGTTCAAAGTAATAGGTGGCAGGCCTAGAAAAAAAATCTAGCAAGAAAAAATATTGATACTCAAGTAATTAATCATAATTCAGAAGGAACTCTTAAATAATCACTCCCAATAACCTTGCTATCTTTTTATTAGCATCTTGAATTCTACTCTACAAATAAATTTAATATCAATGTTCTATTATTATTCATCTTATGGTTTTGTTCAAAATGTTATCTATCTACACAATTTATACATATATCCTGTCACAAACTAAAATCTATACAGTACATATCATATGCATTCTTGTCTGGGGAGATTGAATGAGTTTAATTTAGCAGAGAAAAGGGAGATGGTCAATCATTTCTTATTACACCTGTGCAGCATTCTGGAGTGTGCACGGATATGTACGTAGCACCAATTGACTCTTCCATAAACCAAACTCACCTTTTCTTAAGCTTGCACAACTACTGTGTAGGATAGCCACATAAAGCCAAGAAAAGATAGAATTGCTTTAAGAAGTTGCTGATAGCTGGTATGTGTTCTGAAACATATTTTACCCATTTGAATCCAAGGTGCTGCTGCACAACCCTAGATGCTTTATTTCTGAACAATGCATACTGTACAGTATTCTACTTTCCAAATCACTGTTTATCATACAAAGAATAAGCCCTCAAGAACATTAAGCAGAACTGTTGAGGGTAACCATAGTGATAGATCCCGTCAGTTTCAGAAACAGATAAGAGACATATGCTGAATAACCGTTTACCTTTAATCTGATCTGGCTTTTGCCCTCAGAGACATCCAATACTTCAATTAATGGCTTGTGTTCCTTCTCTGATTGACTGGAACAGCACATCCCTGGGTGACTGACAAACTTATCAACATTGTTTTCAGTGATAAACCACCTTTCCTAAAGGTAAAACAGATATGGAAGGATTTAAATTTCATTTCTAATTAAAAAGCATTCGTTCTGAAGACATCACAGCCACCCTGTTCCTTCATGAGAATTCTATTTTATGCACCTTTACTTGAAGCTTATTTAGAGTCTTTGCTTGTCTTTGCTTCAACCTGTCTGCTTCTATTATATATAAATCCAAAGTTGGGATTAAGGGTAGAATTGATATAATAACAGCCAATAATACAACACTGCATTTTTCCTAAATTATTAAATGTTCCAATTATATAGGTAATATTGATGGCACAGGATACATTTCTAAATGCAATCATTTTTCGTTATACATGGAAAGACAGAAAAACAGGCATAGGCAACAAAGTTAATAATAGTAGGAGTTGCATAGGTCAGCCATAACTTCACATCTCAGAAAACAATTATCCAGCTCATACAAGCAATCAAATTTTGGATGTTTCAATGCTAGCAATAAAAGCCATGGACACATGAGCCTACTTCAATCTCTATAACATATGGTTCCACATGCTGAAAATCTTACCTGACTTCAGTGAAGTAAAGACTGTTATTTATAATTTTATCTTCATTGTGGGATCCTCATACCAAGGGCAATGCTTATAATAAATTCATAGGCTCAGTAAACCATTAAATCAATGACTTTGCAGCAACCTCTGATAAAAACACCAGATTTATTTGTATACCTCCCTGTCATCACTGATCCATACTGAAAAAGAAAGTTATTTGTGTATCTCCCTGTCACCACTGATCCGTACTGAAAAAGATAATAAAATGGACAGATCTTTTTTTATTCAAAAGAACACTTGACATTTGAAACTCCATTTAACAAATTAATAACCTTTGAGTAGATGAAAAAATACATTGCTTCTTCAATGGACATAGCATTTACAGAAGTAGCAGAGGCAAACTTTGTCATTATACAAAACTCTCTCAAAAAAATTAATCAATTTTCCCAACTAATGGGTGCATACTGAATGACGAGAAAAAAGTTCAGCAAGTCATGGAACTAATTACTATTACAAGAAAAAAATATTTTCCACAGTGGTTGACAAAATCCAGCATGTGGAAGGAATGGGAGAGAATCAGGTTAGTCTTCAGTAATACCAGAATAAAAATAAGGATGATTGTCGGAAAAGGTAAACAGAAATCCTAATAGAAAAGAAGCATACCAAATGTTGTAGAACAACAACATATGTTGCAACATATGAAAAAAAAAGCCTGCAAATAGCTCTAGAAAATTGGGTCTCTAGGGTAAAATTACCCCTTCTGAAATTTTCAGTCCATAGGATCTCCTTATCATGCAATGAACCTGAGTATTCAAATATTGGTTAAAATTAGGAATCTTTCCCAAGTTTGATTGGTGAGCCTTTGTTTGCATAGATTAGGCAACTATAACTTATATGAACATCTCTATGCAACTGTTATAATAATGACTTTTATGTCTCAACTAGTCTGCAAAGCTGCAGCTAGACTGATGGGAAAAGTACAGGTAATCCTCAATTTACAAAAATTCATTTATGACCATTCAAAGTTATAACATTACTGGAAGTAGATTACTGAAAAAGTGACTTACAACCATTTTTCACACTTCTGACCTTTATAGCATCCCCATAGTCATGTGATCAAAATTCAGACACTTGGCAACTGACTCATATTTATGACGGTGGCAGTGTCTTTTGCAACTTTCTGACAAGTCAATGGGGAAGCCAGATTTATTAACCATGTTACTAATTTAAAAAGTGCAATGATTCACTAAAAAATAGTGGCAAGAAAGGTCATATAAAGGGGTAAAATTCACTTAACAACTGTCTCAATTATCAACAGAAATATTGGGCTCAATTGTGGTTGTAAACTGAGGACTACTTGTAGTTATGATATATGTATTTCATTAATTGAAACAATTTCACTGGTGACTCCTCCATTTTTTTAAACTTAATATAAAGAGCTGGTCAGTAACCTTGAAATCTGAAATAGCTTGTAAACATGATGACAGTATATGTTACATATTAGCCATCCATGTACTTAGATCGCTTAGATCAGGGGTTCCCAACCCCCAGTCCACGGACCAGTACCAATCCACGACCTGTGGGAGATTCGTCCGCACAAGCGGCAGATGAGTTTGCAAAGCTCCAATTGTGGATATGATGGGCGCACATGCGAAACCATCTCTTCTACCCCTAACAGCCACCACCAGTCCACCAGAGCCAAAAAGGTTGGGAACCGCTGCCTTAGCTGTTCTACTAACTGCATGACAATTGGCTAGAATTGCAGTTGCTATGCCTAGCCTTTAAAATTCTTTCTACAGAGCTACATTGCATATTCTGTAGTGAATTTTCCAATAAAATGAAAAACCAAATTTGTTCTAGATCTACTTTATATCTTCAAAATGAACAAAATCTCCTATCAGTTTTTATTGTGAGTGTATATCTATAAGTATATTATAGATGTTTTAAAATAGATAAATCCTGAATTGTTTTTCATTGTCATTTAACAAAAGTAGAATTTATTTTAAACTGTAATTCCTACTTCACAGATAGTATGAAACCAAGAATCTGTTTTACAAAAACTAGATTTAGTTTTATTTCTCCTCTACCCCCACAGGCAATGGTGAAAAGGGAGAATGTTTGAGCCAGGTGTTTTATATACTGTATATACTCGAGTATAAGCCTAGTTTTTCAGCCCAATTTTTGTGCTGAAAAAATCCCCCTCGGCTTATACTCGAGTCAGATTCCCCTCTGAAAAAAAAAATGGTGTGGAGTCGCGGCCTCCGGCGGCAGCGACTCCCAACAGCCCCAGCCGGGAAGGGAAAGGCAAAAAGCGCTTTGCCTTTCCCTTCCCGAGGCGGTGGGACTGGGGCCGCGCCGGCGGTAGTGACTCCTGACTCAGGGGGCCTCCGAGGGAGGGGAAGAGAGTGACTCCTGCCTCCCGCTGTCATCATCATCTTCTTCTTTTGGGTTAGTGAATCAATTAAACCTTTCATGATAGTGAGATCGTTTCCCAAATTAATTATTTTTATTTTTGAAATTTACCAGTAGCTGCTGCATTTCCCACCCTCGGCTTATACTCGAGTCAATAAGTTTTCCCAGTTTTTTGTGTAAAATTAGGTGCCTCGGCTTATATTCGGGTCGACTTATACTCGAGTATATATGGTAGGTATCTTCTGCTAGCTATGATTTAGCATTACATGAAAAGTGTACCAAGACAGAGCTTCTACAATCTAGAACATCAGTGATCTTGTGAGTGATTTAGTGTTCAGACTATATGACAGAAAAGGCAGAAGAGTTAAACATGGGACACTATATCATAGACATAGAATATTAGTCTAAAGACAGCAATGTATTAAATCAGTATTCTTTTTATTTTAACAAAACCTTGTCCCAAATGAAGATATTCTAGATTTCTAATCTCCACATTGGAAGTCTACAGATTACATATCCAATGAAAAAGGGAGAAGGAAGGAAGAACCTTATCACTTTCTAGGATTAAAAATTGAGTTAACTACTGCAATCAAGTAATAACCTCTATATCCAACTACAATATCAACATAGCTGAGCAGTAAAAGAAAAACAGCATTGTTCAACCAGGCAATGGCATAACTGTCCTCCCTTCCAATACTCTAGTATTCTGATACATCTTGTTTCTAAAGTGTCCTAACTATGACTTCCATTCACAGGATATCAAGACACTAACAAAAATATCAGAAATGTACAGTAATTAAGCAATGACATATTTATAGCATCCAGTAAAGCTACAACCTAAAATACAGCTATGAGAACTTGCTTCTGAGTACACAGGCCATCCTCAACTTACAACCACAATTGAGCCCAAAATTTATGTTGCTGAGAAATTTGTTAAGTGAGTTTTGTCCCATTTTATGATTTTAGTTGCCACACTTATTAAGTGAATCACTGCAGTTGTTAAATTAGTAACCTGGCTGTTAAGTGAATCTGGCTTCCCCATTGACTTTGTTTGCAAAAGGTGATCACATGACCCCCAGGGCACTGTCATTGTCCTAAATATGAGTCAGTTGTCAAGCATTTAAATGTAAATCATGTCACCATGGGGATGCTGCAATGGTCATAAGTCTGAAAAATTGTCATGTCACTTTTTCAGTGCTGTAACTTGAAATGGTCATTAAGTGAACTGTTGTAAGTCGAGGACTACCTGTATTTGCTATGCTGACCTTCAGACTGTGATAACAAAAGAGCAAACAAGTGTAAATTTAGATCAACACTAATTTATGACCTCAAACAATTGCTAAAAGAATTAAATTACTGGGCAAATTAGACAAAATTTACTACCCCATATTCTGTACAGAATGAATGAAAAACTACATGTACAATTCTGAACTATCACATATATTTCCAAATTATAAACAACTTTAGATTATAGGAGGTAATATAAAAATCTAAAAAATAATTTACCTGTAAATTGTCATAATTTGAACCAAAATAGAACTTTGTCCAAATTCCAGTGGTTTCGGGTGATTTGGTGAGGATAATGACAACATTATTAGGTGATACGTTAACTTCGCTTTCTGGAGAAGATAATTTATTTTCAGGAAGAAACTGCAAGAGGAAATTGTAGGAAATAGAGCCTTTGTTTGCAAAATTCAGCCAGTAGTGATTTGTGCCCACTTCCCCTTGGAAAGTATGAGGAACAATATCTGGAACCTGTAAGAGGATCACCAAAGACTTTTCATCTTGAGTACAATTAAAAGGAGGACACAGAGTGCTGGCAGGGGATATTGAAGGATCTGGACTGCAAGTAGAGGCTATCTGGGTATCTACAGCAACTTCAAACTTTTGTGAAGGCTGAACAGAAGAAATAGTGGGTCTCTTTCCAGGATACAAAACAGAATGTTCCACGTGGTCAGTAGTAGCGGGTTTTGCTGTATCTGAGTTCCCAGAAAACTCTGGACTCTGATCTACATTGTCAGTTGACAAAATTGTCTCCGAATGATCCAAGCTATCAGAGGGCCATTTACACGGTATTGCGCTGTTATCTGGACACAATGGGAGCTCAACATTAGCGATCTTGGGACTTTTATTAAGTTCCATGTCGGCACAGGGATGTTCCTGATTTAAAGAAACAGCAGGATCTGTAGGGAGCTTCCACGCGTGGTCAGTATGCAGAGTGGGGGAAAGGGAATGTAAGCCGGTACCTTCAGGCTGTGCACCCAAGATCACGTTGTTACTGCTTCTGGTTAACCCCGGATCCCCTTCACTGTTGTTCTCGTTGCACACGGGAAGTGCAGCACTAAATTCGGGAGGACAAGAAACAGCAGGATTCTCTTCTCCCGCATGCATCGAAAACTCCAGATTGTAGCGTGCAGTGCGTTCGTGGGCACTGAGCGGAACGGGCCCGTTCAAGTCAGAAACTAAAGCGACACCCGCAGCACCATTTGTTGTAGCCACAGCCAAAGCGGGGGTCGGAGTTATTTCTACGTCAGACGCAAGAACGGGAAGCGCCTGCTCAGAACAGCTGCTCTTTTGACACACTTCCGCACCGTCCTTATCCGGGCTGATGCAGCTGTCTTCGGGCAGCTGCTCCTCGTTTTCTGGCGAGGCCTCGATTTGCTCCTGCTCAGCTTGAACTCCGAAAGCAAGCCCCGGGTCAGGCTTCCGCAAAACCGGCAGGACGACCACCAGTTGTTTCTTGGCTTTGTTGAACGTGGCCTGGCCACGGCTCTCGTCCACTGCGTAGGGCAATGGGACGCGCAGGTGGTAGGCAGCAGGGCGCTGCGAGTCCAGCTGGAGTTCCTGGCCATTGATCTCCAGCTGGGCCTGGGCGGCAGAGCTGAGCAACGGCAGTTCAATGGTCATCACCAACTCGCGGGGGATCGGGCTAGGCGCGGAGTCCCGGCTGTTGCGATAATCCTGAAGGTCCACGTAGGAGCGGTGCCGGAGGGTCCATTGCGGAGTGGTGGCAGACGGGGGTGGCTTGGGCGGAGGGGGTCTCGGAGCTTCGTATTGTGGGCTGGGCGGCGGATAGGTGTATGGCGAGGGGAAAGGCGGCAAGGGGGAGTCGTCTGGCTCTCCAGCCTCTTCTGGGGACAGTCGAGCTCCTGCGGTTAGCGGCGTCCGGAGCAGCGTGGCCTGAGGGACGCCCTTGTACTTAATGCGGTTGAGAAGGACGGCGTTCGTGCGGTCCAGTTGCGGGGAGAAATTTTTCTCTATCGCCTCCAAGGCCGTGTCGTTCACCAGGCGGCGGAATCGGGTCATGCGGTCGGCCAAGCGCAGGGTGCGCGGGTGGAAGACGACGTCGTAGACCAAGCGGCGAGGCCCACGCGGCTGTTTGCGGCTCAGTTCCTCGCGGCCCGGGGCTAAGGAGTGTGGCAGTAACCAGCAGTAACCTCCAGGCTCTGGCCGAGGCTCCGGCCTCCCGATTAGCCGGTTGCTGCAGATGTTGATGTAACAACGCCGGCTACCAGCCTGGCTCGTGCGCAAGACCCAGCCCGGGGTGGGGTGGAGGAAGCGGGCTTCGACGCCCCGCTGCCGCTCCATAGCTATCACTTCGGCCTCATAAATGGCCCTTTGTTCGGGATCGTTCAGTTCGGCCACGTACTCCGCAAAAAGAGTGCGGAATCCCTCCTCATTGAAAGCGCTTGTCAGGCGCTCGGCTTCTTCTCCTGTCAGATTCAAGTCCTCCAGGCCTAAATGGTCGGTCATGCCTGCGAAGCGGGCTTCGTTTCCTTTGCTCGGCCGGCTCGACAGACAGTTGCACAAAGGGAACCGTCCTGGTCCCTTTAGGTACTAAATCAAACGATATGGCAGTTATTGCTCACGCGTGGTTTTGTTGCCATGGAAATATTCCTAACAATATGGCGGGTCTGGTCTGTTGCCATAACAACCACAGTAAACGGAATGGCATTCCATTCCCTTTGGGGATGCAAAATAGGCCAAGCGCTCTTGAGGGTGCATCTCTTTATGGCAAAGGGATCTTTGCTAGAAAACATAAGGAATAGGATCGGAGACAAGTTATGATAGATACTTGGCAACATACTGGAAGCCTTCCAAACAACTGCCAGGCTAAAGTAGGAAAACAACTCAGCGCAAGGTGTAAAGTTGCCTGTATTTATGAAGTTTAAGAAGTCTTTAGAATCCAAACATCATTTGTTACCCCTGAACATTTTTGGGATAGTACAGCAGAGTAGATCCAGCCCTCAGTTCCCTTGTATGCCTAGAAGGCAAGGAATAAGCTGCTGGTATCAGGAATAACTATTGCACCTGCTTTTTTTTCAAATACTTTTTCCTTGGCTGGCACAATGGTGGTGGTCATACTCACAGGGCCCAGACAGGAAATAGATGTATTGACTAATTCTGTAAGCAGTAGATAATAACTTTTCCTTTTTACCTGTTGTGATGGCCAAAAGCAGACTGATGGCAAGTTGGAGAGGATCATACCCAAGTTCCATCAATCATATTTCTCAAACATAAAAGCATTTTTAAGTGTATGAGTAACATTTAACAGATAATCAGAGGTGGAAGGGACCTTGGAGGTCATCTAGTCCAACCCCCCGCCCTAGCAGGAGACCTACATCATTTCTGACAAATGGCAGTCCAATCTCTTCTTGAAAGTCTCAAGTTATGGAGCTCCCACACCTTCCGAGGACAAGCTGTTCCATTGGTTGATTGTTCTCACTGTCAGAAAGTTTCTCCTTATTTCCTGGTTAAATCTCTCCTCCTTCCCTTTCCATCCATTATTCCTTGTCTGGCCTTCAGGTGCTCTAGAAAATAGGTTGACCCCTTCCTCTCTGTGGCAGCACCTCAAATATTGGAAGACTGCTATCATGTCTCCCCTGGTTCTTCTCTTTACTAGACTAGCCAAGCCCAGTTCCAACTGTTCATTGTGTTTTAGTCTCCAGTCCCCTAATCATCCTGGTTGCTCTTCTCTATACTTTTTCTAGAGTCTCAACATCTTTTTTATAATGTGGTGAACAAAACTGAATGCAGTACTCTAGGTGTGGTCTTACTAAGGATTTTTAGAGTGGTATTAGTACTTCCCTTGATCTTGATTGTATCCCTGTTAATACAATTTAGGATTGCATTAGCTTTTTTGGCAGCTGCTGCACACTGCTGGCTCATATTTAGCTGGTTGTCCACTAAGATCCTTCTCACAGTTGCTGCTATTGAGCCTGGTTTCACCCAGTCTATATGTGTACTTTTGGTTTTTCTTGCCTAAGTGTAGGACTTTATTTTTCTTCTACATTGAATTTTATCTACATTGAATGTTCAAGTCTTAGAGCTTCACTGACAACCATGACTCACTAGGTCAACATTAGAGATATTTTCCTACCACATTCCTCAATGCTTGTGAACGATGGCAGAGCTTTTAATTTATTGGAAACACTTTTTACAAATTCCAGGGAGATACTCAGATGTACCATCCTTGAACTGTATAGCAGCCAAACATAGTAATTGATCACAGGAAACGTTTTATGACATACAATATTATGTCACAACATGCTTTATATTTTTTGTCATAAAATGGAAATGAAATTGCCAAATTTCAATTCCATGGGAATGATGGGTCCAGGATTACAGGTGCATTCTGTAAATTAGCCCATTTGAAGTACCTTGTATGAAAAAGTTTGATGCGCTGTTTCGCCCAGCTGAAGGTTACAGGAACAAGAATTTTAGTAGTATATAGATGTATTCAAGGTAACCTTCAAGCCATTAGTGTGATCCTTTCTAAAGCTTATATCACAATTCCTGAAACTTGCTGTTGGTATGCACAAGTAACTTGTGGGCAATATCCTCTTTCATTTAAAAGAAAAGGATTAAGTTTTTAACATCTTTCCTTACACATTGTGAATGCTTAGCAACAGGTATCAAGAGCCTTTATTGCTCTTCTAAATTCAGATCAGTTGTAGATTTTAGCTTTATTTCTGTACTTGGGATCATGTTGCCTTTAAATTCTGGGAGTTTTAGTTCTAACTAAATTGGAGGCATTGGAGTTTGGGATAGCTGCTTTAATAGTTAATGTCAGGGCTATTTTGAGTTGACAGTTAAGGAAATTAGACTAGTTCTATAGTTCATAAAGGAGAAAAAGTTGAGCCACTGAAATGGTTAAAATACTATCGTGAGGGTATCTTAAACAGAGATAGTTGAATTTTTCTGCATTTTAGTTATTCCATCTTGGTTGCTTAACAGGGATAGAAGATGTTTTAATTTGATCATTTTTAAAGGCCATTATTTTCCTCCCATCCTGTATATAGTTCTGTTTAAAATTATATATTTGTTTGAAAGAATATTCAGATTATTTGCTTAACACTAATCAGAAGAAAGTTAAATAGATTTTTGCTTTGAATATTTTGGAAGTGAGCAAAATTTCTTTTTGTAAAAGTAAAGTCAAATTATTTGAAGTATAAGATGTGACACATGAACATCCTTATATAAAATGTATTTACAAGATATATAATACATAAGATATATTAGCTATAACGTGAGGTTACAATCATGATCCTAAATTTTAAGAAATAGTTGTAAGTACTTCAGTCATTTTAAGACCAGAAACTGTGGCTTATTCTTCTTGATTGAGATTTAGAGACTGTGGAGTTTGCTGAAAATTTAAAATAAAAAACAATATTAACATTACTTGTATCTACATTGGCAGTCTTGAAACCAAAAATAGTACTTCTTAAAGTACTTAGAGTATTTATTTCTTTATCCTATGCACTGACTGCATCAAAGACTTGATCATGAAAAATATTGTCATTAATATTATTAATTTATATAACTGACTGAATTATTCATACATATCTTTTGTCTTGGAACATAACTTTCACAAATAACAATATTTAAAAATCCCTACAGAAGCAATATACTGTATTAAATTCAATGATTCAAACCAGATGGAAGGCAACCTGGAAAACACATTTTTTAAAAAATACTTCAACATTTATACACTAAGACCACTTGTTTTTTTAAGGTACAAAGTTCACTACGTAAGAGTCCTGAGAGGAAAATCATAATATCCAATTGGGTCTGTGTAATAATACTCTAATAAAATGGCTCCAAACTATTAAGATTGTAAAACTCAAGCCCAGCATTTCATAACTGGTACAGAATTGGTGTTCCATGTTTTGATTGATTGCTTTCAGCACAATCAAGCAAATTCTGTATCTGGGTATAGTTAGAAATCATTAATTATGCCAAAATATAGTTTGTCTCGGGTATCTTGTTTATCAGCTGACATTCTATGGATGTAGTATTTAATAGAGAAATACTGAACCATTATCAAATTCAGAAACCAGCTGAACTATATTTACTTATTTCTGCTCTCACAATGAGAATTCTGTTTTTTAAATTTCAAACCAAATATTTCTCTATTAAGATAGTTTTGTAATTTGATTTAAGACTTTTAGGATTGACATCAACAGATCATTTGCTCTCTATTCTATTACATTAGGGTACAGATAGCTCAAGATGCTTAAGTTGCAGTAGCCAACTCAAAGGCCTAAAAATGGGTTCTTTAGGGGTTATATAGTGAGTTTGAAAATCGATCAGGCAATAATTTACACCAATACAATTATAAATCAGGGGTGGGATTCAAACAGCCTTACTACCGGTTAGGTGATTCGCTGCGCGCGCATGTAGAAAACCATAAGCTGTGCCACCTGGACAGCTGACAAGCGCTGCACGCAGGTGCGCAGTGTTTCAAAAGCCTCTTTTTTCCTGCTTTTTCAACCTCAGCTGTGCCGCGCAAAGCAGCTGAGGTTGAAAAAGCAGGAAATAAAGGACAGGTAAGAGCCCGGGCGGGAGGGTAGGCCAAACAGCAGCAACCACAGAACTGGTTCGGTAGGCCAAACAGCAGCAACCACAGAACTATTCTTCACAGCTACCGGTCCTATAGAGCCAGGAAGAACCGGTAGCATCCCACCCCTGTAATAAATACATGTATCATTTTGCCCTAGCAAAATTCCAGATACATTGGGAACCCTCCCAAATATGTTCAGCTTGGTATTATTGGAAATAGCTTGTTGTTAAGAAATTAAGTCCCAGTACAGTATACAATAGCTCTTCAATTATGTCAAATATAGTTAATAGCCTGCAAGGTATATTTGGAAAAGGTTTCTACATTTTACCCACCCTGGTAACATGATCCACTGTTAACATATTACTCCAGTATCTGTTCATTAACAGCAACTGCTTCCATATTATCAAATCTGCATTTATTTATAGTATTTTCAAATATGAACTAAAGACAAGCTACCTTTACTACTAAGCACAGACACCATGCAGTCTGAAAGGAGAGCCAGCAAAAGATGTCTTATTATCTTATCCTTGTTAGAGCTGTGCCCTTTAGCACAATAACTTGTTACTGTTCAAATGATCTTACCTCTACATTCTGGTTAATTCCACATTATATCTATATAAAAAGCACATATTTTATATACACTGCTAAAAAAAATAAAGGGAACACAAAAATAAGACATCCTAGATCTGAATGAATGAAATATTCTTATTAAATACTTCGTTCATTACATAGTTGAATGTGCTGACAACAAAATCACACAAAAATTATTAATGGAAATCAAATTTAGCAACCCATGGAGGTCTGGATTTGGAGTTACACTCAAAATTAAAGTGGAAAAAAACGCTACAGGCTGATCCAACTTTGATGTAATGTCCTTAAAACAAGTGAGGATCAGTAGTGTGTGTGGCCTCCACGTGCCTGCATGACCTCCCTACAGTGCCTAGGCATGCTCCTGATGAGGTGGCGGATGGTCTCCTGAGGGATCTCCTCCCACACCTGGACTAAAGCATCCCCCAACTCCTGGACAGTCTGTGGTACAACGTGGCATTGGTGGATGGAGCGAGACATAATGTCCCAAATGTGCTCAATTGGATTCAGGTCTGGGGAACGGGCGGGCCAGTCCATAGCATCAATGCCTTCATCTTGCAGGAACTGCTGACACACTCCAGCCACATGAGGTCTAGCATTGTCTTGCATTAGGAGGAACCCAGGGCCAACCACAGTAGCATGTGGTCTCACAAGGAGTCTGAGGATCTCATCTCGGTACCTAATAGCTACCTCAGGCTACCTCTGGCGAGCACATGGAGGGCTGTGCGGCCCCCTAAAGAAATGCCACCCCACACCATTATGACCCACTGCCAAACCGGTCATGCTGGAGGATGTTGCAGGCAGCAGAACGTTCTCCACGGCATCTCCAGACCCTGTCACGTCTGTCACATGTGCTCAGTGTGAACCTGCTTTCATCTGTGAAGAGCACAGGGCGCCAGTAACGAATTTGCCAATTTTGGTGTTCTCTGGAAAATGCCAAATGTCCTGCACAGTGTTGGGCTGTAAGCACAACCCCCACCTGTAGATGTCAGGCCCTCATACCACCCTCATGGAGTCTGGCAAAACATGCACATTTGTGGCCCGCTGGAGGTCATTTTGCAGGACTCTGGCAGTGCTCGTCCTGTCCCTCCTTGCACAAAGGCGGAGGTAGCGGTCCTGATGCTGGGTTGTTGCCCTCCTACGGCCTCCTCCACGTCTCCTGATGTACTGGCCTGTCTCCTGGTAGCGCCTCCATGCTCTGGACACTGCGCTGACAGAAACAGCAAACCTTGCCACAGCTCGCATTGATGTGCACCATCCTGGATGAACTGCACTACCTGAGCCACTTGTGTGGGTTGTAGACTCCGTCTCATGCTACCACTAGAGTGAAAGCACCGCCAGCATTTAAAAGTGACCAAGCCATCAGCCAGAAAGCATAGGAACTGAGAAGTGGTCTGTGGTCACCACCTGCAGAACCACTCCTTTATTGGGGATTTCTTGCTACCTGCCTATGCTTTCCACCTGTTGTCTATTTCATTTGCACAACAGCATGTGAAATTGATTGTCAATCAGTGTTGCTACCTAAGTGGACAGTTTGATTTCACAGGTGTGATTGACTTGGAGTTACATTGTGTTGTTTAAGTGTTCCCTTTATTTTTTTGAGCAGTGTAATTAATAGTGATATAACTGGATATACAAAATAAAAATGGTGATAATTTTGTCAAGCCATATTTATTCAATAATTCTACAACTATCAAGTTATATCTTTTTATCAGACAGCATGAAGAACAGTAAATTAGATGTTCTTGTATACTCAGTAATTTATCTTTAAAAAGTGATCTTACCTGTCTTCAACAGTTTTGCTAGAGGGGTAGAATACTTTAAATGAAAAGCCACTTCTTGGAAAAGATCCCTGGTATTTAAGAAAAACAGCATAGCAAAAATTTTCATCCATGCCATCTTCTTGAATATACATCTTTTCTTTAGACATAATTTTAAAATACATACTTAACATCTCTAAATATAATTTCAAATACATCATGCAGTAACTATTAGTGAAAATTAGTGTGACAAAAGTAGTCAATACAAATATATATTTTCTTTTATTTTCTGTCTACAAGAAATATGTTTAGCCTAGCTTCATAATACTGCAGATAGTATGTACCATATTATGAGCAACAACAAAGGTCCACAACAAATACTATTTGAAGGATTTGTTAGTATGGGATTTGACCAGCTTTGTTATTTCTAATATATTTTGATAACATCTTTTCATCATTGTTTGAGGATGGAAAAATATAAGCAAGATCTTACCGGATTTATACAAAGGCAATCGGTGTTGGTTACAGTGAATGGGTCATATTTGTCAGCAAAAACAATCAGATCTGGCAAAGGATAGGTTCTCAAGGTGTAGTCATAAGCCCAATAGACAGGGCTGACATTAAGAGGCAATGGAGTCAGATGTCCTTGTGATAAGATAGTTTTTACAAACTGAAAAGTGAAAAACAGCGCTATTAAATTACATATAAAGGTAAACTGGGGTTGCAATTATTTCCAAACATAGAACCCTCAGCTCGGCATGAATTATTGCAAATAAATAACTTCAGATTTCAGAATTGATTTTGTCCTGTTTGTTAGTCGTAAAATATGTTTGTTAACAGACCTGATCGGTTTACCAGGTTATGGAACCAGATGTAGCATTTGTTTCAATTCCCTTAGTTTTGAAGGAACTTGAGAGCACTATTCTGAGCAATATTGTGAGATTCCCTTAAAATTATACCATCTAAAGCACAGTGATTACCATGCAGAGCTGGTAAATAGCTGCAGAATATTTCAATGAACCATTCTTTGATGGGAAAATTATTCTCCATTTTAGTTACCTTAATCCATATTATGTTTAATAGTTATTCCACCAAGTTACATGTTTTATTCTGTCTCCTCTGCATTGTTTTCTGCACAAAATATTTGTAAACTTGATGTTAACTGCCCAAACCATAACCAAATCAGTAAAAACTTCAAGCAAGGGAAATACCTTACTCCTATACTTCCTTCAATTTCTTAGCCAATTAAAATCCCTCAACTCAAATTTTAATTCAAAATATTAAATATCTTTTTTGATCTTACATGGTTAGGAATATCCAAGCTACTGTTAGGGAAACGGACACAGTTACGGCACATCTTGTTTACCAAGTCTTCCCGAAAGATTATTATTTCCTGTGTACAGTACTGGACTCTGAAAGTAACAAATGCAACTTTTTATCTCTTCTGAGGGTTCACCAATTACCAAAGAGTAAGTCTATTAAGTCAAATATGCCAGCAACACTGTCGCAATTTTTTATATAGATTTGTTGGAGATAAGTGGTCTCTATCTACCTGCAACCTCACAAATACTTCAAGATTACATTGTTGAACTCCTAAATTATCTAATGTACCTTCAAACAGCAGTTTCAGCTCATTTTTTGTGGTTTGGGAAGGGGGAAATGGAAGTGGAATTTCTGGAAATCAATATTTAGCAACATACATACCCCAATTCCCACTAAGAAGTGTTTGGGGACCCTTATTAATAGGTTTGGGATAACATAAGACTGGGGATCAAAAACATTTAGCTTTCAAAGGCCTCTTACCCTCTAAATGGGATAAAATAATTGTAACCTAACCTTTCTGGTGATAGATCACCAGATTGCTTCCAGTGGTCCTCTGGAGGTTCAGAAGGTAATTGTATTCCTTAGCAAAGTTAGCTATAGAGTAAAATTTCAGCTATCATGGAATGTCAGTGCTTTTATAACATCACCGAAATAAATAAAATAGGAGCACACTGGTGACCATTTATTCCAATCTTGTGTCCAGTGTAGAAATCCACTATTATTAAATGGCCATATGAGGGACACATACCTGCAAGGATTTGTTGTGAAAACTGAAAATGGCACCTGTTGTCTGAATTCTTCAGTAATGTTTTCAGTAAGTGGTGGCCTAAAAAAAGTATACATGTGTGTGTGTGTGTGTGTATATACACATAAACACACACACACACGAATGAAAAAACTGCAGAGTCTCAAAGCATCCTTCAATGAAAATAATCTTGTTATAGATATTAGGTCAGAAATGTACCTTGGTAAAATGGAGCCTGGACCAGGGTCTTCAGAACCAGGAACAAATACAAATCGACTTCTATAAGTAATGAATATATTTTATTTAGTATTACTGGTGGGTATAAAATGAAATGTTCATTACAATGTAGTGTAATGTTATTAAAGATAATTAGGGTTTAAGAAGCTGGGACAAGTAAGATATGGCTTGAACTAGGCAATTCTCCTGGGAATTCTCATCTGTAGAATCAGCCCTCCCAAAATAAAGTAAGGAGTTAAACTGAATGCAGCTTCCAGTAGCAGCATCTACAACAAATCATGACACCAAAATGTTGACATGCATCTCGATGTTGTGAATCCATTCCAAGTATGTATAGTAGGTTAAGGCCCTTTTATGATGTCACACATATTTTTATCATTTGCTACCCATGATGTGATCTTGTGGCCTCCAAGTCTGACACATAAAGAAAAAGTCACAATACTTCTGGATTTTGTAGCTTCAGTTCCCAGCTAACACAATACTCAGTAGAATTGTTTAAGTAGAATTTTTAGCTAATTTACACAATATATTAAGCTCAGTTTAAGTGTACTGTTTTTTATACAGCTGAAATAAAAATCTCTACATGGGGATGCTTTCTGTGTGATTAATGTGAGGAACACATATTCTATAGATATTTCACCAAGCAAATAATATGGAACATACCTTTCATGGATACTGGGATATTCACATATTATATCTGCTAGGGCTTTCAAAGAATCTAAAAACATAAAAAAGTACTGTAGTTATTTTCTTTCCCTCTTGTCAATCTTCATTTCAGAATTAGAAAACAAAACCAGAAAAATAAAAAGCCCAATGGGGTTCAGAAAGCAAATACAAACAATATTTTTGTAGAGAATAAGCATTTTGAATCTTGAAAATCAATATTTAACTGACATATAAAATACAAAATAATATTTTACTTATTAAAAAAAACAGGAAGGTGATGGATTCCAAGTACCTTTTAGTAACTGAATTTGATTTTTTCCATATGGAGTAGAAGAAAAATTCCCACAGAAAAAAAAACAAGTTGGAGGCATGGCCGAATAACCTGGATAGAGAAACAAGGACTATTATTTCTATTTGGTTTGTTGGAAAGCTCTTCTCCACTGGGAATATAATACATCACTAAGGACAAATCAAAACTTGCATCAATCTCACATATCAAAACAAAATTTAGTGGTATTCTGATGGTAAATCTATTTATGCCTATCATTTCATTTCATTTCATTCACCCTTTGATCTGAGATCAGTTTGTTGTGAGCTGAGAAAACCAGGAAACTGTTGTATTAACCTGGACAAATTAAGACTTCCTAAGGAAGGGCAACAAAATACATAATTTTTGAGACTGAAATGTTTTTCTTTACTTATGCAAAACATTTATTAAGTTTCAGGCTGACTATCTTAGGTACTAAGAGTTCTGCTGAATCACAAGTCTCTAACTCTAACCAGCGTTTTTAGAAAATATTAAAGCATATTGACAATAACTCTTTATTGCTTTTGCCTCCAGGCAATTGTTTTTTTAATAGCTCACTACCTCTGTACAGTAGAGTTCTGCATAACCACCATATTTAACAGCTGTTAATATGGCTCCTTGCTTTGTGAACTAATTTTCTTTGAGAACTATGTAAAAAAGGCTGTCAGTTCACAAATGGAAAATGAACTGTGATTCACAGGTATTCTTTTAATTGTGGAGCTGAGGGTAAACCCATAATTTGTGTGCATTCCTAAGCGTTGCCCAATTACAGAAGGAATGTCTCCTTTCTTGGAAACCTCAACTGTCAAAAAGGCAGCCATCCTCACCCATTTCCAAACCTGAAGCTACAGATAGAAGCAAAGCATTTTCCACGGCTTTAGTTGCAGCACAAGGCTGAAAAAGTAAACAAAAACAAAAACTGGGCAGTCTTAATTAAATATTCTGAGATAATTATCAGATACAATCAAAATGTATGGCATGCTAACCATATCATGGAACGAGTTCTATAAATGTATTATGTGATGAACTGCTCTGCAAGATAAAAATCCTTGCCTGATTCTAATATCAGTAGGTATCGCTGAAAGATCAAAATTCTATACTATAAACTTGAGCAACATTTTTTTTCTTAAATTGCTTCGTTGCATCTACTGAACAGCTTGGAATATTTTGGGCGTTCCTTGCATAACTCCAGCATGTATATGTGGAGCAACAGGATTACCTGAAAACATGATGCGGAGATTTTCTAAAACTTCTGCTTGGTCCAGCCAAACATCCGAAAGAAACACAAACATGGCATCCTCATTTTCTTCCTCCATTTGTTTCAGTTTTGCAGAAGATTTTGCAGAGGTTGAAGAAGGCCCTCCAAAAAAGTTAATGTTGCCATAATATGCCCTGCAGCATAAATAAATATTTATAGGTTGTACTGAAGCTCATACATCTCTAAAATCATGAAGCAAGTAGAGGTAGCCTTCAAATTATGGTCACAATTGAGCCCAACATTTCTGTTGCTGAAGAAGACAGTTGTTAAGTGAGTTTTGCCCCATTTTATAACCTTTCTTGTCAGAGTTATTAAGTGAATCACCATAGCTGTTAAGTTAGTAACATGATTGTTAAGTAAATCTGGCTTCCCCATTGATATTGCTTGTCAGATCATAAGAGGTGATCCCGTGACCCTGAGGCATTTTAACCATCATAAATATGAGTCAGTAACCAAGCAGTTGAATTTTGATCACGTGACCATGATTGTTGTAAATTTGAAAAATGGCATTAAGTCACTTTTTCAATGCCATTGTAGCTTTGGTCACTAAATGAACTGTTGTTACTTGAGGACTACCTGTATATTACACATTAAAAATAAACATCAACTCTCACAATACACCTTCACTTAATTATACAAAGTTTCTAAAATTTTAATATTCTTTTTAATCACCTGTATTCCCAAATCATGGAAGCCACTGTTAATAAATATACAAAATCAAAAATGATCTTTGCCAAACTTTGGCTCTTATTTTACATACAAAACTTTACATTTTCACTTTCACTGAAAAGGGTAATCTTACAATAAAATGAAACTTCTGCATGCAGTTTCTGAACACCGAAGTGGCTGGAATGGAAATTATCAATAAAATAAAGTGTCACGAGTTTACCCATCATGTCAAACAAATATTTGATTTTTGTTTAGTAAATGGATGATTCAAACCATTATGTTTTGTAAATAATTCTTAGTGTTTTATTTTAATCAATTTACTATGTCTTTGTTAATGAACCATGGCTCTGCATTATATAAACAAAGCCAGATGATTTGACTTAACCTAAAAGGAGATTTTAAAAGATTGGCCTTTGATGTACACTGTTTAGTGGGAAAACTATTTAGAAATCTACACCAGATTTAGTCCTACATTGATTTGTAGTGTTAATAACTGAGGTCTGTTTTATATTATTTTGAGCATAGTTCTATGAATTACATTAGGTTTTATAGTAATAAAGACTGGAGTTGTCTTATTTGCCTCCCTATCCTACTGCTTAAAAATTGTTTTAAACTTTGTCAAATCTGAAGTAGTAAAGTTGCCAGGCTCTTTCAATCCATTTCAAACTTGTGACATTCAATATGAACCACATAACAATCTGTCATAAACCAACTGCTGCCACAAGAGGTGCCTTGTGATAAAATGGGCAGCAAATAAAATTTAATAAATAAAATAAAAATAAATAAAATTTCCAACTTGAAAACAGGGCAATATACTCTATTTGCATTATAATTTGCTCTAATAGGGTTATTTTAAAATGTTTCACTCCAAAATTAAAAAGCAGGAACATTCCTTTTTGCTGCAAGCTTATTTTTAGGGGAATAATAGGGTATAGTTATTCATATCCAATTTTAATGATATTACAATCTCAGATTTCCCAAAGGGTGACTATGGGCAACTCTCAGTTTTGAATCTGGAAACATTTTAAAAATAATCCCAAAGGTGCTTTTTTGAAAAAGCAAATGGACTTTGTTTTTCCTGGAAGACGTTTCACTTCTCATCCAAGAAGTTTCTTCAGTTCTGATCAAGAAACTTCTACTCAATATAAACAGATAGCATCCCAACCCAATAAAATACTTTCTTCTGTATACCTTATCTGTTTCTATTTCTCTCTTTTTCTATATAACATACTAGCTATATACCCGTGCTTTGCTACGAAACTATGTGCTCAGTCTTAGTTTTCAGGAAGGAAAATAAGGGGGAAAATTGTGCCTCTACCTACCGGCATCCATTGGTATTCATCTGGCTAGTGTCTGTCAGTGTGTGAGTTGAGGGCTGTTTGGAAACTGAAACAGTATTTGCTGTGTGAGCAAGGAGACAGCAAGGAGCCTGGGCATGGCTTAGCTCAACTGTTCTGTACTAAAGTTGGTTGCTGATGGGAAACTGAAACTAAAACTGAACCTCCCCTCCTGTTTGTGTTTTGCATTTGGCACAGATTTCTTTTCAGGTGGGGAGGGGGAGTAGAACTCCTTAGCATCAGAGGATGTTAATAATAATATACGAAATACTAATGCTCTGATGGTCATTTCTAAAAATCCTTTCTTAGTGAGCATCTAGAAGCCAAGAGGAACATATGTGCCAAATTTGAAGTTTGTAGGCTTTATGGTCCTGGAGATTTTGTGATGATGTGTGAGTGGTATTTCGCTTTTATATATATACAGATTGTAATCCATTTCCCCTTTAACTTATAGAGGGTTTTTTTTTAATTCTCAATCAGTATTCTGACCTGCTGAATAATTATTGGACTTTCTTTTTTTAAGATCTCTTCCTCCTTAAAGTTTCTTTTGTACGTATTTTTGTAAACCTTGGGATTTTTTTACCCTACAGTTATTCCATTTTCATGTCCATAGCTGCTGACTTTTTTCTTCCAAAAACATAGATCATCCCTCCTGAGGTTATTAAAAATAAGTAAAATACCTAGTAGTAGCAGAAGGCTCTATAGGTGGAAATCCAAAAGCAGTGACATGAAATACTTCATCTTCATACCAACCTGTGGAACAAAGTAAGCAAAGCTCCTAGTATATTTGTCATCATTTCAAAAGGAGAAATGATATGTATAACCACAGTGTCAATCTAAATCTCACACTTTTTTTGAGACTCAAATGTAATCAGAATATTTTGAAAGTGGTTGCTCAAAACCAGTTAGTCAGATGTTCCTTCAGCTGAAAACTCATCAAAAATACATTTTTTTGCTTTTAAGATTTCATGGTAGAAATATAGTGATTAATAGGAACATTCACATACCATACTTATCCATTAATTGGTTAAGTGGTGAATATATTCTTCTAAAGCCTTGTGAACTGGCAAAGCAGTATTACCTATAAATGATTCCCTGTAATTTGCAAAATGATTTTCATAACCAAAAGCACGACGATATTGTTCTCAGCTTAGAATCCAGTGTAGTCATGACTGGCAATAATTCAGTCTCAAGCAGCAGTCCTCAAACATTTTGGTCTCAGGACCCCTTTGCATTTCTTAGAAACGACTGACAACCCCAAAGAACATTGATTTAGGTGGGCTATATCTGTATTAAAAATTAAAATTGATACATTTTAAAATACTTATTCATTTGATTTTGCATAACTCAGAAAAGAATTTCAGGGACCCTGAATTTTGCAAATCACAGAAAAGAGTTTGCGAGCTGTATCCCAAGCATAATTAAGCACAATGAGTGAACTGGTCAGTGGGGAAAACAGCCAATATCAACAAAACAAAGTGAGACCAGTATAAGAGGCTGCTTTCAGTGAGGCATCTCCCATCGGATTTTTTTTTTTTAATTACAAAATTAACCTTAGTATTAAGTATCAGGGATTTTTTTTCCAAAAATTATATAGCCAGAATATGTAACTATTATTAAAAAAAGAAATGAAAGAGCAGCGTAGTGACCTAGTGGTGAAGATGCTCCCCTTCTACTTGGAAGGTTGAGCAATTCAGTCGCTCCCACTCTATCCTGAATTAAGGGATTATGGGGGCGTTAAAAAGGGAAACAATGAAAAGAAATAAAAAATTGCCCCCCCAAAACTTTTATATTCTTGGAACATTTTAATGTTGCTATCAAATTGGATTCGCCATTTTCCTCAAAAAGGAAATGTAATAAAGTACAGCAAGTGTGTTCTCGAACCAGTTACATAAAAATCCACTGAGCAGAAAACTATTTTCAATCTTTTCTATTCAAGTCTCTTTTCCAGTAAAAATAAAACAGTAAATTTAAAGCATGAACAAGAACTTCAAATATAGAAATTAGCATAGAATCTTCTTACTGTCAGATTTATACTCTTCAGTACCACTTAGAATATACTGATTGGTTAAGTTAAGCTATGACTTGTATAATTATCATTAACTAAGTAAGCCATGATTCATTGCACTGAATCATAAACAATGATTTATAAAATAAATGGCTAGAATTACAAAGCCAAACCATATACACATTATGGTTTAATGCAGTATCTGAAACCTATCATTATGAGTATCTTGTACTGTATGTGATTTACAGTATATGTAACAGGAATAAGGGTAATTGTACATGAGTTGAACAGAATTATAAATATTCCCAGAAACATGCTGGATCACAAATCAGACCTTACTGAAGTAATGTAATTAAATTAGCAAAAGATTATACACAATCTGTTTTATTTCATTTTTTTCTTAAACTATAACATGATTTTATATGTGTGTGTGTATATATATATATATATATAC